TCGCCGGCCCCCCACCAAACAGGGGGCTCGTGCGCGTTGTGTGCCCTCCTGCCTACTCCTCCTCGTCCTCCTCCTCCTCCTCCTCCTCCGCCTCCTCCTCCTCCTGCTCCTCCTCCTCCTCCTGCCCCTCCTCCTCCTCCTGCTCCTCCTCCTCCTGCCCCTTTTCCTTCTCCTCCTCCTCCTCCTCCTCCTTCCCCTCTTTCCTGTCTCCTCCTCCCTCCCTCCCTCCCTCCCTCCCTCCCTCCCCCCCATCCCTCCCCTTCCCTCCCCTCCCACCCTCCCCCCCTCCCTCCCTCCCTCCCTCCCCTCCCTCCCTCCACTTCCTCCTCCTCCTCCTCCCCTTCCTCCCTCCGTCCTCCCCTCCATACGTCGTCGCCTGTAGGAAGCCCTGGGAAAAATCCCCCCCCCTCCCTCCCTCCCTTCGATTCAGTGTGTAAGCTGGGACGCCTGTTTTGTCTCCCACCCTGGGACCTTGTGCAATCATGAAATATTTTGTCCCAACCATCCTGTGGTGTTGGGTCCTCGTTTTAAAGAGACGGTGGTACCCGCGCTCCCTTCCCTCCCTCCTTCCTTCCTCCCCCCTCCTCCTCCCCCTCCTCCCTTCTCCCTGAGTTTCACCCACCCAGTGCAGCGCTTCGTGGCCCCATACTGAGATCCACCGAAGGCCCCAGTGCTACCGCCCGCATGCGTCACGCACACCCATGTCGGCACACCCCTCACACGTCCCGTGGCCCCACAGGGAGCTCCACCGAAGGCCCCAGTGCTACCGCCCGCATGCGTCACGCATACCCATTTCGGCACACCCATCACACGTTTCGTGGCCCCACAGGGAGCTCCACCGAAGGCCCCAGTGCCACCGCCCGCATGCGCAACGCAAATCCATTTCCGAACACCCCTCACACATTCCGTGGTCCCATAGGGAGGCCCCAGTGCCACCGCCCGCATGCGTCACGCACACCCATTTCGGCACACACACACACACACACACCTCGCACGCTTCGTGGCGCCACAGGGAGCTCCACCGAAGGCTCCAGTGCCACCGCCCGCATGCGTCACGCATACCCATTTCGGCACACCCCTCACACGTTTCGTGGCCCCACAGGGAGCTCCACCGAAGGCCCCAGTGCCACCGCCCGCATGCGTCACGCACGCCCATTCTGGCACACCCCTCACACGTTTCGTGGCCCCACAGGGAACTCCACCGAAAACCCCAGTGCCACCGCCCGCATGCGTCACGCACACCCATTTCGGCACACCCCTCACACGTTTCGTGGCCCCACAGGGAGCTCCACCGAAGGCCCCGGTGCCACCGCCCGCATGCGTTACGCACACTCATGTCGGCACACCCCTCACACGTTCCGTGGCTCCACAGGGAGCTCCACCGAATGCCCCAGTGCCACCGCCCGCATGCGTCACGCATACCCATGTCGGCACACCCCTCACACGTCCCGTGGCCCCACAGGGAACTCCACCGAAGGCCCCAGTGCCACCGCCCGCATGCGTCACGCACACCCATTTCGGCACACACCTCGCACGTTTCGCGGCGCCACAGGGAGCTCCACCGAAGGCCCCAGTGCCACCGCCCGCATGCGTCACGCATACCCATTTCGGCACACCCCTCACACGCTTCGTGGCCCCACAGGGAGCTCCACCGAAGGCCCCAGTGCCACCGCCCGCATGCGCCACGCACACTCATTCCGGCACACCCCTCACACGTGTCGTGGCTCTACGAGTCCCACCGAAGGCCCCAGCGCCACCGCCCGCATGCGTCACGCACACCCAATTCAGCACACCCCTCACACGCTTCGTGGCCCCATAGAGAACTCCACCGAAGGTCCCAGTGCCACCGCCCGCATGCGTCACCGACGCCCATTCCGGCACACCCCTCACACGTTTCGTGGCCCCACAGGGAGCTCCACCGAAGGCGCCAGTGATTGCGTTCGCATGCGCCCACCGCACCCATGTCGGCACACCCATCACACGCTTCGCGGCACCACAGGGAGCTCCACCGACGGCCCCAATGGCTGCGTTCGCATGCGCCCACCGCACCTATTTCGGCACACCTCTCACACGTTTTGTGGCCCCATAAGGAATTCCACCAACAGCCCCAGCGGCTGCTTTCGCATGCGCCCACCGGACAAATTGTGGCACACCCCTCACATGTTTCGTGGTCCTATAAGGAGCTCCTCCGAATGAGGTGCATACAACGACGGAACTCACAACTGCATATGGTTGGGTCCTGCGCAAGGCTAATTTGATGAATTTGATGGGCGATTTCATCGGGCACCTTGACCATGGCATTGTCAAACGTGCCCCCAAATAGAATAGCCAGTCGCGGGGGGGGGGGATTTTCACAGACGGTGGGGAGATTGTCGTCTGTGTCTAGCGCACGGTTATCATAAAGCAGCAAGTTGCAAAGCAGACTGACCGTGCCGACGGGCCGTTTGAACTCCTCCGTGGCCACCATATGGCGACGGAAGGCCAATGCGCCTTTTGTCTTACATGCGAAGGATCTGCATCCACTGGGCATTCCCATGTGTCACTGGCTGAAGGCCCAGTAGCCTGCCTGGGAATCCAATCGAGCCCGCACGACGGCCTTAGAAGTCTTCAGGTCGAGTGTCATCCGCGGACGGGCGTCCCCCCAAGCGGTGGCACCCAGTGCGGCTGAGGGCTGCCGTTTTTGTATTGTTTCGTGGCCTCCCTCGTCAATTTCTCTCTTCGGCGGAATCATCGCGGCCTCGGGTCCTCCATGCCTCCTCCTCATCATCATCATCATCATAATCGATCCATTTTCCGCACGGTGAGGGCATTGGATAAGGACCCAGTGGATAAGGACTCCAGGGTCTGGAAGCCAGCGGAACTCCAATCGTGGACTGGCCATGGATATCACCGCCGCCTCCATCAGATAAGGAGTCCTCCAGGGTCTGAGGCCTCCTGGGCACATTTCTGTACGAACGCCCCCATAATATGATCGAAGCCTTGTCTTTAACATGCACTCTTCCCTGTCACGCCCCCAGGCGCGTCGGCAGGGCAGGCTGGGCGTGTCGCGCGAGACTTGCCCACCACTTACGACCATAAGGCTTTGAATATGCAACAGCTTCAAGCATCAGGGTGCGCCGTTTCCAATGTGGCTCTCGCCGTGGCGCCGTGCGCATTCGTCTCAAACTTTTGCAACCGCTTCAAGGATGGACGGCGGGCCGGTTTCAAAAAATGTGTCTCTCGCCTCAACGCCGCTAACAATCGTCTTAAACGCATGCAACTGCTTCAAGGAATGGAGGGTAGACCGTCTCCAACATGTGGCCGCCGCCTCAGCTGGGCACATGCACTTTGAAGTACGCGGCAACGTCAAGGATGGAGAGCGGCTCTTTTTCTAAATGCGGCTCTCGCCTCAGCAACGGGCGCACTCGTCTTCAACGTTCGCAACAGCTTCAATGAATCGTAGTAAGGTTGAAGACCCAGGAATGGCAGTCTGGCACGATTTGGGATTGGTAGGACGCACCAATCACATTGGTTCGCGGTGTTGAAGTCCCAGGAATGATGTTCTGGCGCGATTCACATCGGACTGTCAGGACGCAACGGTCACGCTGATTCACTGAGTTCACGTCCCCAGCATGATCTTGTGGCACGATAGGGGATTCCCAAGCGGTTTTCTTCATTGGGAAACTTCCCATAATGAAAACACATCCTTGTAGCTAAGCTACGCATATAGCGTCCGCGGGGCTACGAGGTGGCGCTGGGGCGCCGGAGTCAGATTCAATCCGTAATCCGTGGTTGTGTCGCTGTGCGTCCTCCTGTGTGGGACACGCACGACTCCTCCAAGCTTTCCAGCCGTCAATTTCCATCACATCAGGTCGCACCTCCTTTGAGCAAGCATCGCGAATAATGCTGCCACATTGTCGGTCCACCGTTTGAACGGTCGCTGCTGCAACCGCTTTGCATCCATGTGTAGATACTGGGTCCCGCATGACCATGTCGTCGCGAACCGCCGTTGCAAAAGACATCCACTGCAACCACCGTTGCCGTGCACACCCGTCTTCGTACCCAAGTTCGGCGCAGTATGCTTCAATATGTTTCGTCGTGTGCTGGATTCACCTGTGCCATGTTCCCTGTGCATATTCTGGAGAGCTCGAGCTCGATGCGGCGGTGGCGGCGCATGTGTCGGAGTCGGCGTCGGTACTGCCAGGTGTGCACGCGGTCGTCGTATCAATGGTGCTGCCGCTGGTGGAGGCATGAATCGAAACAGCGGCTGCTTCGTTGACCAGCGCTGTGCACCAGAATCTGCGTGAGCATCTGGGGCCCAGCGTCGTGAAGATCCAAGACTCAACCTGAACATGTAGCGTTGCGCGGACCGCAGCCGTGACACCAGCGGAGCTGTCACTGCCCAGGAGCCCGCACCCTAGAGAAGCGATGGGGAAGCGGCGCCGTGGGACAGCCGCAGGCGGTCCTTCACCGAGCACGAGCGCGCAGTAAGTTTGTTTCTGAAGAGGCAAACTTTGTCCAGGAAGCTTTGATTACGGATTCTACCTCTGTCGTGGCAGGGTTGCTGAAAGTCACGTGGAATCCCTGGCACCTCTGCACACCATCGAACAGTAAGATCTCAATGCTGCTCCCCTGTATAATCGTGGGTACTGGCTGGCCACGCGGTCGCTTAGTTGCAAATTTGTATGATGTCTTGGTTTTCCCTGGGTGAATCCTCGGAACTGTTGGCCGCGCAGCATCCATGACATCTCCGATGATCGTCTTCACCTGTCTGAAGCGCAACATAATCAGACGCATAGCCTCCTATAAACAGAGAATTTGGAGGGACAGTCTATAGCAGCCTCGTTGACGCACCTTGGGTTCACACTGTCCCCTCCCCCTCCCCATCATCCTCCCTCATCTTCTTCCAACTCATTCCCAACCATCCTGTGGTGTTGTGTCCTCGTTTTAAAAAGACGGTACCCACGCTCCTCCTTCCTTCGGTTCCGTCCTTCCTCCTCCCCTCCTCCCTGCACCGCCCG